TGAGGAGGACCTGAAGCGCTTGCTGCAGAGGGTCAAGGACTGCAGCCTTCAATATGGATTGAGGCTCAATGTCAAGAAGACAAAGATTCTCATCACTGGCAGCATCAGGATGGATGGTGAAGAGATTGAGATTGTCCACATCTTTAGTTTGCTTGGCTCCACAATCAACACTGTAGGCACCAGCAGCCAGGAAATTAAAACATGTATTGTGATGGGAAAGTCTGCTGTTAGGGACCTTTCCAAAGTTCTGAAGAGCAATGGTGTCTCTCTGGAGACTAGGGTGCGTCTGATATAGGCTAGAGTCTTTGCAATCACTGGTTATGCATCAGAGAGTTGGACAAAGACTAAGGAGGATAGAAGGAGAATTGATGCCTTTGAGCTGTGGTGCTGGAGAAGAGTAGTGAGGGTACCATGGACTGCTACGAAAACAAACGGATTCATCCTGAAAAGGGTTACACCAGGCGGCTCCTTGGAGGCAAAGATTCTGAGGCTCCGTCTAACATACTTTGGACATGCTGTAAGGTGGGACTGGTCCTTGGAGAGGGACATCTTGCTTGGGAGGGTGGAGGGACAGCGCAGGACGGGAAGGCCCTCTATGAGGTGGATTGATTCAGTGACTGGGGTAATCGGGATGGGAGTGTCAGAAACAGTGCGATTAGTACAGGACAGAGCAGAGTTTAGAGCTGTTGTACATAGAGTCACTATGAGTCATAAGCAATTCAACAGCACATAGCACCACCACCACAACAACAATTCTTTTAATGTTGAGTACACATAAAAGCTACTAAAAACTCACTGCTTAATAGCTTAATCGACAGTGACACTCCATAGGGATTCTGGGGCTGTACATCAGAGGAGAAAGCCCATCTTTCTCCAGTGAAGTCGCTAATAGGTTCAAATCCTTATTATTTCTGGGTATTAGCCCAGTACATTACACATTATGCCACCAGTTTCTGTATAAAAGCTATAGCTCTGAATCAATCACCAATAAACTCAATGACACGTGTATTTGAAGCATTTAATAAAAAATTTCACTAAAAATGCTTCTAGTTTTAAAATGCAGAGTTAATTTAGAGTATTTGCCCAGATAGAGAGTTGCTAGAATATAAGGAATTTTTCAACAGATTTTGTCACATTAAAAAATAAGCAAATTAAGAGTGCATCTAAATTCCAAAATCAATCTCCATAATAGTCTATGTGTTTCCTACTGCCAAAGGGGCCCTTTAGAGTAGTGAGAGAAGATCTTCACCCTGAAACCCACAGCGTCCCTTTTCAGCAGGAAGTGGCTAAGAGAATACGCCATCCCCTTTCCCTTATGAATCAGGGTGAAGTCTCTCTCAGGGAGGAGTGATAGGGAATGGCAAAGGACACACCGACAAAGGAGATTAATCAGAACTGACTTTGACAAGCACTGTGGCAATTGGACAATTAAAACAGACATTCGGATGGCGGGGAAGAACAACAAACTGGGGAGGAGGGTAGAGAGAATGGTGTGGCAATGAAGGAATGAAAACCCAAAATCCCTGTAAATGTTCATTAAAACTAATAAAATTTAATAATTAAAAAAAAAGCAAATTATGCCTTCTGTTGTTAGGTGCTGTCCATTTAGTGGCTTTTAGGGAGGCTGGGGGGCCTAGTGGAAAAAGGAGTACACTACCAAATCAAATTCAAGCAGCTTACGTCCATGAGCTACACCATGGGAAGAAAGATGGACAATCTCCTTTCTGAAACCCCACTGGAGGGTCAGGTACAAGTCAGTGCTGACTTGATGGCAGATAGCAGGAGTCACTTTTGAATAATGAGACCTTAAAATGTGTCTGAATTTAGATGTTGTGGAAGTAAAAACTATACACTGCATTTTGAACTTGGTAACAGAATATAAGATATTTCATCAACAATATTTCATACTGATTGTTAAAAATACTGATTTTAGATTAAATAAAATATCCTGTGAAAATTAATCTCAACATTTAATACAAATTTATCCTATCTGTTTCTTTTTATTTTTTAATGTGCTACAAAAAATTTAAAAATCACGTGTTGAGGATTATATTTTCATCAGACACTTTCCATATTGTTTAAAAGATAAAGCATTGCTCCACCCTCCACCAATTTCACTTTCATTTTCTTCAAGCAATAAAAACAGTTCTAAAGTCCTAGGATTCTAATTTAAATAATTACCATATTAGAATTTGAGTCATCAAATATTCTTTCAAAGACTTCTTCTGCTTCTTTAAAATTACCACTTTCCATACAAACGGCTATAGCCTAGAAGAGAAATAATTAGTTTAGATGGCTTCTTCTTGTCATAGCTAATCAGTGCGACTCCCTGTCATCAAGTCAGACTGAATCACAGATAATTGTCCAGTGAATTTTCAGACAGATTCAAATTGTCTACCTTTAGGTTGACAGCACTCCTTAACTCCTTAAGGGCCACCAGAGCCTCCTTTACAGTTATTACTTGTTCAGTTTTAAGAATGTCAACTAAATTTCAACTGTTGTTGATGTTGTTGTTATGTGCTGTTGAGATGCCTGCGACTCACAGCGACCCTATGTACAATAGCTCTAAACCCTGCTCTGTTCTGTGCCAATCTCAGTGTCTCTGACACACCTACTCCCATTACCCCAGTCACTGAATCAATCCATCTCATCGAGGGTCTTCCTCTCCTGCACTGTCCCTCCACCCTCCCAAGCATGATGTGTTAGCTATTCTCAATATGACCTTGGAGTTCCAGTGATTCTATGTGTAATACAATGAAACGCTGACAGATCCTCTCCCACCCTATGACTGACTGGGTTTCTGTGATCCAGAGGGTTTTACGGACTGAACTTCGTCTGGACCCTTGATTGAAACCAACTGAGCATCATCTTATCAGCCAAACCTCCAATGAGGGGAGTAATGGCTTGGCATGAGGTGCAACAACCAAGAAGAGATCTCATAGTCTCATGTTGAAGATGAAAATACTACCACCAAGGCTTCAAGCTTAAATACTTAAATATTTTTCGTTTAATACTTTGGAACTGGCCCACAAAATTTTCATTTGCACCATACAGCATTACAAATAAAGGCATTCTCTCTATTTTTCAGGCCAAATGAAAACTATATAGAGTCTTGGTAGTCTAACAGTTAGATTCTGTGAGTGGAGTGTTCAGAATGAATGTGTTTGAGACAGCGAGGTTGGCACAGGATAGAATGGCGCTTAGGGCTCTTGTACATAGGGTCGCTATGAGTCGCAAACAACTCGATGGCACATAACAACAACAACAACAAAAATTCTTTAATAACAAAATATTAATTATAAGCTCCAGTAATACTCATACCTGAATTTTAATTAAAATCTTTATTTCTTCATGAAGTTTGTCACGTTCTTTTTCAATTGAATCCCAAGCAATGAGGGCCGATTCCAGGGGTGTAATTCGTTCATCACTTTCAAACTGTGCATCTAAGAAAAATAAATCACATAGGAAGCTAAGCCTTACTTATAAAAAAATTTATTCCTTTAAACATTTAGTACACATATATATGTCACTGTTCCAATATACATCAGTTTAAGAAAGTAATTTGATTATAAGAGAATTTTCTCACTGAAATAAAATTTTAACACAGATAAAACAAAACATATGGAGCTTTTTGGGGAGCTCAAGTATTAATTTTTCTTCCCCCTTTTGTGTACTGTTGAGTTGGATCTGACTGGCACAGGAAGAGAGTGCTTCTCCTTCTCCAGTAGAGCATTTGGTGGATAAGAACCGCTTGCCTCTGGGACTGCAGCACAGCTTCTTACCACAGGCCAGAGCTCGCTCAACTATTAATTTTAAGTGAAACTAAAATCTAAAATGACTTAACATAAAATCTCACAATAACATAACTCATAAGTCTTATAACAACTCTAGATACAGCACAAAACTACTGAGCTTTAGCATATACAATTTGAAATGTTTGTTAGATGTACTTTTGTAGATAACTGCAGCAGGATTTTTCATTCTTCTAATAATTAAGACCTTAAATTTAAGGAGGACTGTTTAACTCTTCCAGCTTTCTCATCGCCATATCCAATCTATTGCAAATACAATGTACAATGTTTCTGTCTGGAATATGCTTTTGACTAAACCCACTGTACAAATGGTGTAGCAGATGTCTCTAAAATTCTCTAACTTCACGGAGGAGAGATATAACAGAGGTAAGACACAGCATCGGGTCTTAATTTTTTTTTTTTTAATAAAAACCCCAATTCTGCCACCTGCCATCTTTCCCACAGCACTTCTCATTGAGTTCAACAACTGACTGTAGTGGCTCCAGAGAACATGCAACCAATACAATTACAGGGTTTATTAGGGAAGTAATTGCTATGTATCACTGAGTCAGAACCAACCCACAGCTGACCTTCTGGTGGGTTTTTCAGAGGCAGTAAATCGCACAGGAGAAGACTGATCTTTCTCATGCAGAGGACTTGGCAGATTCAAACCACATGCCCTTGGGATGGCAGCACAGCTCCTTACCACTAGGTCACCAGAGCTCCATTATTAGGGAAGTAACAGGTTACAATTCGGGATTAGGAGTAACTCCAGGTAAGAGTTCTCAGTCAAGACAGACTCTTGGCTGAGCTCACAGAGTTCTCCCTGACCCTTAGCTAAGGTAATCAATTTATAAATGGTAAAAGCCAACAAAAATATCTAACTATTTGCATTAGAGGCCTATTTAAATGACCATGTATCAGCCACTGGTATTGATGTTGCTTGTCATCATGTCAACTAGAATCCTAGTGACCCCAGAGGACAGGGCAGAACTATCTCACACAGTTGACTGGGCAGCAGATAGTTATGGGTTTAGATGGCAAGGTCTTTTTTCTGACAGGGCAGGGGGTGGTTTTGGATTAGAGATCTTGCAATTAGAAACCAATTATTTAATCACTGCATAATCAGGGCTCCATCATTAGCATGAGTACTATGTAAAGCAAATTGAACAAGGGTTGCCAAAATGAATTAGATACAAAGATATCAGATAAAAATCACACACACTTTTATGTAAATAAGTACTAATATTAAGTTCAAATAAGAGGAATACTATTATAGCAGTCAGAATGCCTCTTACAAGCAAGGATGGTATAGAACAAATGATGAAGAAACAGGTACATTGACACACAAAAAACCTATCAAGAACTCATGTAATACAACACAACATAGATAAATCTAGAACAAATTATTCTGAATTAAAGAAGTTAGTCACAAAAGGATAATTATGGTAAAAGAGCATTAATATAAAAAAAACTAAAGAAAATTTTACACACAGAATTAGTCTCAGAAGACTAACAGAACAGGAAGGTAGAAGAGTAAAAATTAATAACTTGGGTAAAGGGAATGCTAATATGCCAAAAGGGATTAACTAAACTCAACAATCATAACAAGTGATACAAAATATACTGAATAACTGAATGAAAAGCCAGTATGATCTACGTGTCTTAACACTAAAATAAAAACTTTTAAGTTTGGCAGAACTGTCTCACATACTTTAGACATGTATGCAATCAGGAAAGTTCAGTGCTTGGAGAAAGACGCCATGCAAGGTACAGAAAAGCACCAGAGAAAAAGAAGGCCTTAAATCAGGTAGACCAACAGGAGATGCAAGACCACATATAAGAACAGGACCCATTACACAGGGTGATGCAGGATAGGGCAGTTTTGTTTTACTATCCACTGGGTCACTTTGAGCTGGAATCCATGCGACAGCATCCAAGATCACCATCCCAACACCACCATTATTGTTGTTGCTGATATTAAGTGCCGTTGAAATGACCACTAAACAATGGCTTTGAACCCTGTGCCATCCTGGCAATCTCTGACATACTCCAGCCTACCATTTGGATCCCCGTGTCAATTCATTTCATTGGATTGGGTCTTCCTCTCATTTGCTGATCCTCCACCTTTCCCAACACAAAGTCCTTTTCTAAGGACTGGCCCAAAATATGTGAGATGAAATTTCACTATCCTTGCCTCCAAGAAGCTCCCAGGCTGCACCTTTTCCAAGACATAGTTATCCTTTTGGCAGTCCATGGAATTGTCAGCACCTCTCCTCAATATAACTCACAGGCATCGATCCTCCTTTTGTCATTGCTATTCACTGTCCAACTTTCAGTTGCAAAGCAACTAACTGAAAACATTATAGTTTGTATCAGGTGCACCTTAGTCTACAAAACTCACATCATTCCTTTTCAACACTTTGGAGAAGTAACAGTATACTCTCTCCACTGTCTTTGGATTTCTTGGGCTGATGCCAATGGTGTTAATTGTGGATTCAAGCAAGATAAATTCTCTGGCAATTTCTATAATTTCTCCATCTGTCATGATGTTGTACATTGAAGGCTGTAGTCTTTGCTCCTTCATAGTAAGCATTTCAAGAACTCCTCACCTTCAGCAAGCAAAGCTGTGCTGAGTAACTTCCACATTCTTTTTGAGATATTTTTAGGCAATGGGAAAAAATATGGATTTCTTTCAATCAGTTGGCTAGGTAGCTGTCCTCAAAATTTCCTGGCATAGCTTGATGAACACGTCTAGGAAGGCATCTGTTTGTTGAAACACTCAGTTGGCATCACACTGATTCCTACAGCTTTACTTTTGCTAAGGCCTTCAATACAGCTTGAAATTCTTTTATCGCCATTGGTTCCTGATCATACTTCTGAAATGGTTCTGTGTCCACCAATTCTTTTATATTGGCAACCACTATTTTAGTTGCCAATATAAAAGAACAGAATTTGTGGAAAGATTATAGACAACAGCCAAGACCTTCTATAACACCTAAAATAAAAAAGAAAGATAACAGGGAATAAAAAATAGTTCAAATATCTACAGAAGGAAGAAACTAGAAAAAACTACTGGAGAGGCAGAATGACAGAGCAGTAAATTGTGAATGGTCTTGATACAGTGCAGTCATTTTGATTTTTTTAAAGCAGCTTCAGATCACTGTAGTGGTTCTTACACCAGTGGCTGACTGTCTCAGGGACCAAGAGGAACAATGATTCCCTGTGCTGACCCACTAGGAGACGAACAGTGCTTCCCAGCACGCCCAGCTCCACCTAAGATCAGACTTGTGCCATTGCATATCTGGTTCACAAAGCACACAGCCCCACATTGGAAGATGCACATTTCCCACCCGCTGGAGGTGGTAGGTGTCATATCTGGGAGGGAGCCTAGCCTGTAGGCAGAACCTAGGCTACAGAAGCACCATCTATGACTGGGATCCCTCTTCCTAATCACCTGTGCTGGCAGAAAACTGCTGGAGTAGGTGCCCCTATGGCCTTGGTACCTGAAAACCACCACACTTGTGTCTGAAATGGCTCATTCTGCCAGTTGGTGCCAGAGGAGTGAGCTGTCCCTTGGCCATCTCTGGCTTGGTAGAAACTGCTCATGGCAGGATGTCCCTATAGGTTTAGCATCAGGTGACGCCTACACCTATCAGGCAGGGGCTGTCCATGGCAGGACACTCCTGTGGATCAGGTACCTGTCACTCCTATATTTGAAGAATATTTGTTCTCCATCTCCTCATGCTGGCAGTGAGCTATCCTTGACTGGTATGTCAGAGCACCACATCCCAGGTTACCCTTTGGACCAGAGCATGTTCTGCCCTTGGTTGGATGACTGTGTTACTTACTCTCCGGCATCTCTCAGCTGAACAGCAACAATTCCATGATAGTGTACCTTACCCTCAACCTACTAAACCAGCAGAAAATCTACCCAGACCAGATATCTAGTCTCATCCCAACTCACCAGTTGGCAAGGGCACCAATCAAATGCCTGTTCCACTCGTAAGGTCCACTGTTTTTGTTGTGTTTGTTTTTTGGTTTTGTTTTTTTTTTCTTTCTCTTGCTGCAGGACTGCAGCCTTTACTATGGACTGCAGCTCAAAACAAGAAGACAAAGGTTTTCACCACTGGGCCAACTGGCAGCACCATGACGGATGGAGAAGAGATTGAGGCTATTATTAGTTACAGCTTGCTCAGCTCCATAATCAACACTCTTGATACCAGCTGTCAGGAAATCAAAGGATGAACCGCATTAGGTAAATCTGCTGTCAGGAACCTCTCCAGAATACTGGGAAGCAACAACATCAGTCTAGATACTAAGGTGTGCCTGATCCAGGCTATGGTATTTGCAATTACTTGCTATGTATCAGAGAGCTGGACAATGACCAAGGATGACAGAAGAAGAATAGATGCCTTCGAGTTGTGGTGCTGGAGAAGAGAAACATACCAAGTTTCTCCTTGGAGGCTAGAAATTTGAAACTCATGTCACATACTTTTGGCATGTGGTCAGAAGGGACTGGTCCTTGGAGAAGGATATCATGCTTGGAAGAGTAAAATGACAGTGCAGGAAAGGAAGACGCTGGAAAAGATGGACACAGTGACTTGGGCAATATAGAGTTGGTGTGTCAGAGTCAGTGAGACTGGCTCAGGACAGGGTAGGCTTCAGAGCTGCTGTACAAAGGGTCGCTATGAGTTGCAAGCAACTTGACAGCACCTAACAGCATTTCTTTTTTTAATTTTTTTCTTTTCTTTTTTTCCTTTTGCTTTTTGTTGTTATCCCCCCGTCCCTTGACTTCTATGTTCTTCTGTTTCTGTTTTCTTTTGTATTCTGCACCTCACTCCAACACATGCACAAATTTTGGGCTCTTTTCATTTTCTACCACCTGAGCAAGGAAAAAAAAGGTGTATCATTTAAAAGAATCTCGAAGAGAGTGAATGTAAAAGGGAGCTCTGGTGACACAGGCTAAGTGTTGGTCTACTAACCAAAATGACAGCATTTGCATGCACCAGTTACTAAGCAGGACAAAGCTGAGATACTTTCCTCCCATCAAAATTTACGGCTTTGGGAATCATATCAAGGGACAACACCATTAACTAGAATCAACCTGACATTAGTGGGCTTTTAGTTTTAGCCAAGATGGTTTTCTACAAGGTGGGGTCTCCAACAGCAGCACCAGAATTAGCTGGCAATTTATTAGAAATGTACATTCCCGGGCTCCGTAGGCACTCGCTTGATCAAAAACTCTTAACAAGTTGTTAAGTACTTATGGTGTAGGTAAGAGTTTGAGAACCACTTATGAGCATTTAAATTTACATATATGTCCTACCTATTCAATCTGTACACTAAACAGATCCTTCAAGAATCTTGACTCCATAAAGAAGAATGTGGCATCAGGCTCAGAGGAAGATGCACCAATAGCCTGTTTTATGCAGATGACAACTTTGCTTGCTGAAGGTGAGAAAGAACTTACTGAAGAAGATCAAGGGCTACAGCCTTCAATATGGACTGTGTCTCAACATTAAGATGACAAACTCCTCACCGCCAGGCCAATAGGCAACATCATAATAGATGAAGAAACAGAAATTGTCTATGATTTCATCTTATTAGGATTCGCATTGAACACCCTCGGTACCAGCAGTCAAGAAATCAAAAGACGAAGGAGCTCTGGTAACCTAGTGGCAAGAAGCTGCACTGTAATCCCGAAGGTGTGAGTTATGAATCTACCAGATACTCCACTGAAGGAGGGACAGTCTCCTCCTGTGCCAATCGGATCTGACTCCACAGTACAGAAGAATAAAAAAAAAAACACAACAAAACACAAAAAAGAAATTAAAAGATGACTTGCACTGGGAGAGTTTACTGTTAGGGACCTTTCTTAAAGAAGTAAATTGTACTAAAGAACAATGACACCAGTTTAAAGACTAAGGTGCACCTGATGCAAGTCATGGTCTTTTCAATTACTTGCTATTAATCTCAAAGTTGCACAATGACTAAGGATGACAGAAGAATCAATGCCTTTGAGTTGTGGTGCTGGAGAAGAATACTGGAGATCTCATAAACTGCCAACAGAACAATCAGGCCTGTTCTGAGAAAGTGAAGCCAGAGTGGTGTTTCTTAGATGGAAGGATGGTGAAACGCTATCTGACATACTTCGGGTATACTGTTAGGAGGCCCTCACACAATTGGAAGGGTGGAGGGTCACAGAGAGAGGAAGACTCTCAACAAGATGGACTGACATCGTGTCTGTAACAATGGACTCAATCAAAACAACTATAAGATATCATCTCACCCCAGTAAGAACAGCAAAATTTAAAAGAACAGCAAACAACAAATGCTGGAGAGGTTGTGGAGAAACTGGAATCCTTATTCACATTCACTGTTGGTGGGAATCTAAAATGGTGCAATCACTAGGGAAGGTTGTATGGTGCTCTCTCAAAAAGTTGCAAATAGAAATACCATTTGACCCAGCAATTCCACTACTGGGAATTTACACTAAAGAAACCATAATTGCCACTCAAGCAGATATATGCACACCCATGTTTAATGCAGCTTTGTTCACAATAGCAAAGAGCTGGAAACAACCCAAGAGCCCATCAACAAATGAATGGATAGAGAAGCTCTGATATATTCACACAATGGAATACTACACAGCATTGAAAAACAAGGAACTCATGAAATATTATGCAAAATTGATGACCCTGGAGGACATTATGCTGAGTGGAATATCTCAGTCACAAAAGGACAAATATTTCATACGGCCACTGTTATAAAATGGGACTGACATCAGGGTTGAGGTTAGACAGAAAAGGAGGGGAGGAATGATGTATATTGCACTGAAACAGGTGAGGGAGAGAACTATTTAAAAGGGACATATGAATGGGTATTTTTGTCATTACAGAAGTCTAGAGTGAAGGCTGCATAGTAGAGTGGACTTGGGGGGAGGGATTGCATTAACAATGAAAGAGTTTTTCTTTTCAAGGAGAAGAGTGAATTAGGAGGTAGAGGGTAGGCAGGGAAAAAAGTGCAACAATGAATGACTGAAAATCCTAAGTCTCTGTTAACTTAAAATTAATTATTAAAATTAATAAAATTTTTTTAAAAAGACTGTAAAAAATAAAAAAATACCAAAAAACAAAGCAAACAAAACAATGACCTCAATGAGTCAGAGTTGGTGAAAATAGCACAAGACAGGGCAGGGTTTAAAGTCTTGTTCATAGAGTCTCTTTGACTCACAGTTGACTCAGCAGCACATATGTATATTTGTATTCCAGATACATGTGTGCAAATTTCAAAAACAATCAGTAGCTCTTATCTGTATCTTCTCATTACTTTTAGACATAGATAAAACCACAGGATAAAACATATTTACCAAGGAGTTTTCCTGATGCAATTCTTGTCAAAAACTGACATATGTATATAGTCCTCAACTGGTAAGCTGTGAGACTGGACAGTCCGTGAATAACAGCTGAAAGAGAAAAGTCCATTTTATTAAGAAAAAATAAATCAAACATGACCCACCAGTGCCACTGTGTGGTTTGCTGATTAACAGGCTACAATCTCCTTGTAAAAATTATTATACATTTAGTATTATATGCATCAGTTACTTTTAAACACATTTAAAAATAAGGGGGGAATGGAACGTAACAATAAGTATATTTCTTATAAAACAAAACTGACACTAAAACTAACAATTATGTTCATTGTTGTTGTTGTTATGTGTCGTCGAGTCGCTTGCGACTCATAGCGACCCTATGTACAACAGCCCTAAACTCCACTCTGTCCTGTGCCAATCGCACTGTCTCTGACACTCCCATCCCAATTATCCGAGTCACTGAATCAATCCACCTCATAGAGGGCCTTCCTCTCCTGCGCTGTCCCTCCACTCTCCCAAGCATGATGTCCTTCTCCAAGGACCGATCTCTCCTCACAACATGTCCAAAGTATGTTAGACGGAGCCTCAGAATCCTTGCCTCCAAGGAGCCACCCGGTTTAACCCTTTCCAGGACAAATCTGTTTGTTTTCCTAGCAGTCCATGGTATTCTCAATACTCTTCTCCAGCACCACAGCTCAAAGGCATCAATTCTCCTTCTGTCCTCCTTGGTCATTGTCCAACTCTCTGATGCATAACAACTGATTGCGAAGACCATAGCCTGTATCAGACGCACCTTAGTCTCCAGAGAGACACCATTGCTCTTCAGCACTTTGGAGAGGTCCCTAACAGCAGACATTCCCATGACAATGTGCCTTTTAATTTCTTGGCTGCTGGTGCCAAGACTGTTGACTATGGAGCCAAGCAAACTAAAGCTGTGTACAATCTCAATCTCTTCACCATCCATCCTGATGCTGCCAATTGGTCCAGTGGTGAGAATCTTTGTCTTCTTGACATTGAGCCTCAATCCATATTGTAGGCTGCAGTCCTTGACACTCTGCAGCAGGCGCTCAGGTCCTCTTCAGTTATTTTATGTTAACAAAAAGAGGTTTTAAAACAAATAATAAATTGTATCAAAACACTAGCTAGACGTTCATTTTAAACATTAAACACATTTCTGCTAAGAGTTCAACTGAGTTTTTCAAAGCTTTACTTTCACTTAAATGCTGTGATGGGCTGAGAACATATAAAAGCGACAAAGCCATAGTCTCAGTCCTCAGTAAGTGTACAACAGCACAGCAATAGTGACAAAAGATCTAATAAAACAAAAATGTGGTGAAAACAGAAGAAAACCCAAAAAACCCATGAAGAGTATAGAAAGTCAGGGAACAAAAGACATTTTTTAGTCACTCAGCTACCAGGATTCTTTACAAAAGACATTTTATAGCATGTTTAAGCATCTCTTTTGACAGGAGATGGTGTCATGGAAGGATTCTTTGAAGAAAAAATATTTACCTTTAGGGAACTCTGGTGGCCTGTTGTTAGGTGCTATTGAGTTGAGAATGACTCATAGTGATTCTATAGAACAGCTGATGTGAACCCCATTCTATCCTGTGCCATCTTCACACTTCCTGACACACTAAAGCCCTTTGTGGCAGTCACTGTGTCAATTCACCTGGTTGAGGCCCTTCCTCTCCTATGTCGACCCCCACCTTTCCAAGTATGATGTCCCTCTAAAAGGAATAGCCCCTCCTAGCAACGTGCCTGAAATATATTGTGAGGTGAAGCCTCATTATCCTTGCCTCCAAAGTGCACTTTGGCAGCAGTCTTTCCAAGACATATTTGTTTGTTCTTTTGGCCATTCATAGGATGTTCTGTGTCCTTCTTCAACACCACAACTCGAAGGTGCCAATTCTTCTCTGTCATCCCTATTCATTGTCTAGCTCTGATACATAGCAAGTGGAAAGACCATGGACTGAATCAGATGCACCTTAGTCCTCAAACTGACATGGTTACTCCTCAATAATTTATATTATTATTGATTGACTACGCAATCAGGTCATTTTGAGTTAATTAGCAATCAGCTGTAGGCTGGAAGTCTCTTGTTTAAACCAATCAGGACTCAGAGGGCGGACCTTTGTGTTTAAAAGTTGGTTGGATCTTGCCAAGCAGTCTCTTCTCTGGAGTTTCTTGTCTGAAGCAGGTGGATTCCAGAGGGTAAACTGTCTTGATTTAATTAATAATCAGGTATAAAAACCTGATTAGGTTGTTTTTACTTACTTAAGCTGACTGGTTGAATGACTGAATTAGTAATCAGGCATATGCTGACTGGTTCCTTTGAGTGAATTAGCAATCAGTTGTGGGCTGGAAGCTGCTTGTTGAAACCAATCAGGACTCTTTAAACCAATGTGGCAGCCTAATGGTAAGAAACAGCGCCACAATCCCAAAATTATATGGTTCAAATCTATGGAATTAAGATGGGAAATTTCCTTCAATGTGATTTACTGCCTCTGAAAACCCACTATACGTAGGTTCCAACTGGATGGTACTCAACAACAAGGTATAATCAATCATCTAGGGCTTTGTTGGTATAGATAGAAAAGTACCTACAAAATTAGACAACTCAATAGGAATTTTTCATCAATAAAAAGATGCATAAGGCAAATAGATTTACTCTTGTTTGTTTGATTAAAAAATGCTATTAATTGTACAGATGAGGCCGTGGCACAAGGGACATCATATTAGATGGGTCTTGGCAGAAAGCAGAAAAGTACCAGAGAAATGTCTGTTTCATTGACTATGCAAAGGCATTTGACTGTGGGAATCTCCACAAATTGTGGCTAGCCTTGAGAATGGGGATCCCAGAACACTTAATCATGCTCATACCAAACCTATAGTTGGACCAAGAAGCGGTCATCAGAACAGAGCAGAGAAACACTGCATGGTTCAGGATCAGGAAAGGTGTGTGTCAGGAATGCATCCTATATCCACACTTTTTAAAACTATTTGCAGAACAGACCATTTGGGAGGCTGGACTTCACGAGGAGGAATGTTGCATCAGGATTGGAGGAAGACTTGTCAGCAACCTATGTTATGCAGATGATACAACCTTGCTTGCTGAAACTGATGTGGACCTGAGGCATATGCTGCAGAAGGTCAAGGACTATAGAATTCAATATGGATTGAAGCACACCCCAAGAAAACAAAGTTTCTACTGGGCCAAGTGACATGACGGCACATACCACCACCACCACCACCACTAGATATTATATTGATCAAATGTAGTCATACTAGAAGGAAACTGGATTCAAAAAGAACATAAAACTTGCATAAAACAAAAGATAGTCCCTGTAAAATGAATGTAAAATGAAGATTTTACATTCAGAAGATAGAAATTAAACAAAAAATTATACAGATGTCGAAATGTTTAACAATGGCATAGATAGTTAGAACAACCCAGTATGGGAATAAAACAAGACAACTTAATTTATTCTAGGTCAGACTCTAACCATTACTTCGCCTGCTATTTAAATTAGTCTACTACATAATACTTAGAGATAATCTATACATCACAGTCTTTCTCGTCTTTCTACCTGCTTGGCAAAAATAACAACAAAAACCTACCCTTTTATTGTTATGTGCCATCACATCATGTGTGACTCATAGCAACCCTCATAGCAACAGCTCTGAACCCTGCCCTATCTTGAGCCAATCTCATCATCTCCAACAGACCTAATCCCATTTCTCTAAGCGCTGAGCTAACCAGGTGGAGATCTGTGCCCTAGTGCTGAGAAACCTGCCTGTGCACAAGTTTTACTTTCTTGTAGGCTACAGTGAAACCCTCCTTTCCCACTTTTACAAATGTCCTGTCCGTTTGCATCTCCAAACCGTGCCCTCGAAGATAGTGTATAAGTACATCTAGAATGATGGTCACCTTTTTTCTTCAAATTCAGCCCACAAAAGACAGAAGAACTTGAGAGAATACATTCCCTTAGAGTATTGAAACATTGTTTTCCAAAGCTGCTACTGAATAAATCATTTTATTATCTTGCAAAAAAAAAAAAAAGAATCAATCCATCTCATCCTGGGTCTTCCTCTCCTGTGCTATCCCTCCACCCTTCCAAGCATGATGATCTTCTCCAAGGGCTGGTCCCTCATGGCCACGTGCTCAAAGTATGTGAGATGGAGCTTCAAAATCCTTGCCTCCAGATTGCAGCTTGGTTTCACCTTCTCCAGGACAGACCTGTTTGCTCTCCTGGCAGTCCACAGTATGTTCAACACTCTTCTCTAACACCACAATTCAAAGGCATTGATCCTTCTTCTATTATCCTTAGTTACTTAGTCCAGCTCTCAGATGTACACCATGTAACTGTGAAGATCATGACCTAGTCAGGAGCACCTTAGTGTCCTGAATGACATCCTTGTACTTTAGTATTCTAGAGAGGTCTCTGATAGCAGTGTTTCCCAAGACAGTCCGTCTTTTGATTTCCTGACTGCTGGTGCCAAGAGGACTGAAACCAAGCAAGCTGAAGTTATTAACAATCTCTCCTCTCCATCTATCACGAAGCTGTTAAGCGCCTCTGTAGTGAGAATCTTTTGTTTTCTTGAGGTTGTACTTCAATCCACATTGAAGACTACAGTCTTTGACCTGCACCAAATACCTCATATTCTTCTCAGTTTTAGTAGGCAAGGTTGTGTCATCTGCATACCACAGGTTGTTGATGAGTCTTCTTCCAATCCCGGTACCTTATAAAATCCAGTCTCCCATATGATCTATTTTGAATATAAATTGAAAAGGTAAGGGGAGATAGGATGCATCCTTGACACACACTTTTCCTGATCCTGAGCCATGCAGTGTTTCCCTGCTTTGTTTTGATTACTGCTTTCTGGTCCATAAGCACAATTAAGTGATCTAGGATTCCCATTCTTCTCAAGGTTAGTCACTATTTGTTGTGATCCACACAGTCAAATAGTCTTGAATAGTCAGTGAAACAAAGAAAGACATTCCTCTGGTACTCTCTGCTTTTGGCCAAGAGCCATCTAATGTTGACAATGAAGGTACCTGGTGCCACAGCCTCTTCTAAACCCAGCCTGCACATCTAGCAGTTTTCTGCTGATATACTTGTTCCAGTTGTCACTGGATAATTTTCAGCAGGATCTTGCTTGCATGTCATATTGTTCAATAAGGGACATAATGTTTGGAAAGGTGGAGAGCTGATGAAAGAGAAAAAGATGCTCAACAAGACAGACTGGTAAGATAACTGCAGCAACGTCAAGTATGTCATAGAATGATGAGGATGGCACAGGATAGAGCAGGTCTCAGATCTGTTGTTCATACAGTTAAACTCTACTCAACGACATCTAACAATAACAACTACAAGAAATCCAAGGAGATCTAAATAAATTTGGGGTGGGAGAATCCCAAAAACCAAGCAAGTGCATAAGTTAGAACCTAAGAAAGGTGACCCAAGAGAATGTGGAAACTACAGAACAATCTCACTGATTTCACATGCATGCAAGATTTTACTGAAGATTATCCAAAAACGACTGGAACAGCACATCAACAGAGAACTACCAGAAGTCGAGGCTGGGTTTAGAAGGGGTCATGGTACTAGAGATATTGTAGCTGATGTTAGATGGATCTTGGCTGAAAGCAGGGAATACCAAAGGAATGTCTATCTGTGTTTCATTGACTATGCAAAGGCATTTGACTGTGTGGATCATAACAAATTACGGCTGACTCTGAGAAGAATGGGAATCCCAGAACACTTGATCATTCTAATGCGAAACTTATACTTAGACCAGGAGGCAGTCGTCAGAACAGAGCAAGGGAACACTGCATGGTTCAAAACTGGGAAGGGCATACGCCAGGGATGCATCCTATCTCCATACCTTTTCAACCTATATGCAGAACAGATTATCCGGGAGGCTGGGCTCTGAGGAGAAATGTGGGGTCAAGATTGGTGGATGATTTATCAACAACTTGCGTTATGCGGATGACACAACCCTGCTTGCTGAAACTGAAGAGGACCTGAAGCGCCTGCTGCAGAGTGTCAAGGACTGCAGCCTACAATATGGATTGAGGCTCAATGTCAAGAAGACAAAGATTCTCACCACTGGACCAATTGGCAGCATCAGGATGGATGGTGAAGAGATTGAGATTGTACACAGCTTTAGTTTGCTTGGCTCTGTAGTCAACAGTCTTGGCACCAGAAGCCAGGAAATTAAAAGGCGCATTGCCATGGGAATGTCTGCTGTTAGGGACCTCTCCAAAGTGCTGAAGAGCAATGGTGTCTCTCTGGAGACTAAGGTGCATCTGATACAGGCTATGGTCTTCCCAATCACTTGTTATGCATCAGAGAGTTGGACAATGACCAAGGAGGACAGAAGGAGAATTGATGCCTTTGAGCTGTGGTGCTAGAGAAGAGTATTGAGAATACCATGGACTGCTAGGAAAACAAACAGATTTGTCCTGGAAGGGGTTAAACCGGGTGGCTCCTCGGAGGCAAGGATTCTGAGGCTCTGTCTAACTTACTTTGGACATGTTGTGAGGAGAGACCGGTCCTTGGAGAGGGACATCATGCTTGGGAGGGTGGAGGGACGGCGCAGGAGAGGAAGGCCCTCTATGAGGTGGACTGATTCAGTGACTGGGATAATTGGGATGGGAGTGTCAGAGACAGTGTGATTGGCACAGGACAGAGCGGAGTTCAGGGCTGTTGTACATAGGGTTGCTATGAGTCGCAAGCGACTCGACGGCACATAACAACAACAACAACAACAATATTGTAAAAATGGCACTGTAACCAAAAGCAATCTATAGGTATAATCTCAATCCTGATGGCATTACGATTCATAAATTTTATTTCAAAGTAACTACCAACATTATATGGAAATGAAACAGATCCTGTATAACCACAGTGACACTGAACAAGAAAAACAAAGCACGAGGCCTTTTATTTCCTGACCTCAAAGCCTATTAACACATAGTACTCAAAACAGCATAGTACCAATACAGTGCAAAGTATATAGACCAATGGAAAAACATTGAGAACCTAGAAAAAAGATAAATATCCACCCACGGAAAAATAACTTCTGACAAAGTGACAAAATTTATTAAATGGAGAAAAGACATCCTCTTTAACAAATGGTACTGGAAAAAGGATATAGCTATCTGCAGAAATTTGAAACAAGACTCATTTTTCATATCATATACCAAGACAAAGATGAATTATGGACCAACAGATAAAACCTAAAATAATAAAATCATCAAAGAAAAAATTGGGGCAAATTTGGAAGCCCTAAGCTATAGCATAAAGTATCTAATATAACTTAAAATGCATAATCACCAGAGAATAAACTAAAGCACTCGAACTTCCTACAAATGAAATACTTATTTACATCAAATGACTTCTACCAAGATTAAAAAAAGAATCCACAGACTGGGGAGAAATATCTGGCAATGCCATATCTGACAAGAGACTAAGTTCTAAAATTTCCAGAGTATTCCAACACCTCAATAAGAAAAAAACCCAGATACAAAATGGGCAGAGGACATAAAAAGAGACTTCACCAAAGACGACATTCAGATGGCAAAAAAAAAACCAACAACCAAACCCAACACAACAAAAAACACATAAGGAAACGTTCAAAATTATTATCTGTTTACTTACTCAGTGCCTTCAAGTCAGAACCAATTCACAGCTGACCTTCCTGTGGGTTTCCAGAGCCTGAAACGTGCATGGGAGACAACTGACCATCCTTCTCCTATGGAGCAACTGATGGATTGGAGCCATCTACCTCATGACTGGCAGCACAGCTCCTTACTCACTAGGCTACCAGAGCTCCTTTATGAGTTCTTACAAAGACACATAAGAAAGCAACAATTACATACCAGTGCACCCTGGTAACGAAAGCTATGTTCAACAAATCCGCAAATAAATGCAGGCAAAGGTATGAAAAAATTAGAACTACTGCTGGTGAGAATGTAAAATGGTACAACCATTAAGGATGGCAGTTTGTCTCTTTCCATAGTGGTCTGGTACTTTCCAAAGATGGGAAGAGCAAAACCATTTGATCTAGAAATGCCCTACTGGGTTGTTGTTATGTTAGTCAGAAAAGACTCATGGCCCTCCATCCAGTTTTCAGAGGTTGTAAATCACACTGAAGAAGTCTATCTTTCTCTCACAGAGCAGGTGCTGGATTTGAACCTTGAGCCTTTGGATTAGCAGGGCAACTCCATAACCACTAGATCTCTGGGCCCCCAGACTCACTAATGGTGGTATTAGCTTACTGCATGGCTGGTGGCCTAGTGGGTAAAGATTTGTACTGTCAGTCCTAAGGCAGGAGGTCTGAATCCACCAACTTCTTGGAGACAAAAAGATGGGCAATCTCCTGTTTGGTTCACATCATCTGAAAACCCTCTGGAAGGTCAGCTATGAGTAGGTTCTGATCTGAGTGAGTTGGAGTGAGTTGAGGGGTTTTGGTGGGTTTGTTTCTCCTTTTTCATTTAAGGAAAGGTTTAAACATAGAATCAGTCTTGGAGGAATAACAGGAATGAATAGGAAGCAAAAAAGGAGTACAAAAATCAACAGATTAAGTTAAAGGGAAAGGTAATACATAATAAAGTATTAAATATATTCAATTTTACATTCACATTACATTTACGTTTACAACCCTACAAAAGGTTATATATAACTGTAACAAATTCAGCTTGCTCAGTTCCACAATCAACACTTTTGGCACCAGCAGTCAGGAAATCAAAAGGTGAACTGCATTAGGTAAATCTGCTGTCAGGGACTTCTCTAGAGCACTGAAAAGCAATGATGTCAGTCTAGACATTAAGGTGTGCCTGACCCAATCCACGGTTTTTGTAATTACTTGCTATGTATCAGAAAGCTGGACAATGACTAAGGAGGATAGAATTGAAGCCTTTGAGTTGTGGTTCTGGAGAAGAGTCTTCAACATACATACATACAAGAAAACAAATCGGTCTGTCTTAGGGAGGATGAAGCCGAGTTTCTCATTGAAGGCTAGGATTCTGAAGCTCCATAGCACATACTTTGGGCATGTGGCCAAGAGGGACCGATCTTTGGAGAAGGACATGATGCTTCAAAGGGTGAAGGGACAGTGCAGGAGAGGAAGACCCTGAATGAGATGGATTGATACAGTAACTGGGGCGATGGGGGTTGGTGAATCGAGTTAGTGAGACTGGCTCAGAACAGGGCAGGTTTCAGAGCTATTTGTACATAGGGTCGCAGGCGACTGGACGGCACATAACAACAACAATTCTCGTTTAAACCAGCAAAATAATTAGGAAGGCCCGTGACAGTGGGTGAAACCAAGATTCGAACACGATCTCATTCAAGAGCCAGCGTCCCTCAGCTGCTCCTCACAAGGGACCCATCTACTGCAAGCCCACCGGAGCTGTGTTTGAACCCCAACTTCCATCTCCCGATCCCACTCTCTGCACTCACCCTCAGCGCTGTCGCGGGTCCGCTGGAAGTCCTCGGAGCGGCCGTCACGGAAAGCTCGGCATAGAGACAGGCAAAGGAAATCCAGCATCCAGCCGGCAGCCAAGGTCTCGGCCTCAGCCACCAGGCCTGCGTTCTCCGGCTCTTTGTGGTTCTGTTTCGGCACCTCGCACTCGAGCAATTGCTGACATTCTATTTGCTCACAGTCGCCTTCCGTCATATCCACTATCTGCTGCTCTGTGGTGTCTGCATCCCTCCCGTCTGCACAGCCTCGGGGACTCCGATCCACCACCGCAGTAACCTCCGCCATGTTAAACTGCGGCCGCGGGTATTTTTACCCCTTTCAGGGGCCTAGATATGATTGGTTCCTGTGAAGAGCAAGAGGCGTCTCTAAGGGCCTCTTCCGGTGAGCAAAGGCCAATCATATCTCCAGAACGACCAAGCACTCTATTGTGGCTTTCTGAATGGCCGAGACCTGCTCGGAGACGTTATAGAGGTCCCGCCCCATGCCCGCCAGGTCAGACGTTAAGAGGGGATGTTTAAGAAGTAGTGGGCTGCACTTTAAGTTGTTGTTGTTGTTGTTATGTGCCATTGAGTCGCTAGCGACTCATAGCGACCCTATGTACAAGAGTTCTAAACGCCGTTCTATCCTGTGTCAACCTCGCTGTCTCAAAACACATTCATTCCCACCACTCCAGTCACAGAATCGATCCATTTCATCAAGGGTCTTCCTCTGCTGCGCCGTCCCTCCACTCTCCCAAACATGATGTCCAGTCCCTCCTTGGAAAATGCCCAAAGTATGTCAGACAAAGCTTCAGAATCCTTGACTCCAGGCTTCACCCTCTCCAAGACAAACCTATCCTCCTAGCAGTCCACGGCATATTCAACACTTCTCCAGCACCACAGACCAAAGGCATCAATTCTCTATCATCCCTAGTCATTGTCCAACTCTCTGATGCATAGCACGTAATTGTAAAGACCATAGCCTGGATCAGGCGCACCTTAGTCTCCAGCCTGACGTCACTGCTCTTCAGTACTCTTGAGAGGTCCCTCACAGCTGACTTTCCCAATGCAGTTCGTCTCCTGATTTCTTGGCTACTGTTACCAAGAGTATTGACTGTGGAGCCAAGTAAACTAAAACTGTCAACTATCTCAATCTCTTCACCATCCATACTGATGCTGCCAATTGGCCCAGTGGTGAGAATCTTTGTTTTCTTGATATTGAGCTTCAATCCATATTGAAGAATGCAGTCCTTGACCTTCTGCAGCAAGTGCTTCAGGTCCTCCTCAGTTTCAGCAAGCAGGGTTGTGTCATCCACATAACATAGGTTGTTGATGATTCTTCCACCAGTCCTGATGCCACATTCCTCCTTGTAGAGCCCAGCGTCTCGGATGATCTGTTCTGCATACAGATTGAAAAGGTATGGAGACAAAATACATCCCTAATGGACTGCTTTCTTGATTTTGAACCATTGAGTGTCCCCCTGCTCTGTTCTGAGGACTGCCTCTTGGTCCACGTATAGGTTTAGCATTAGCACAATCAAACGTTCTGGGATTCCCGTGCTTCTCAGTCAGCCATGGCTTGTTGTGATCCACACACTCAAAAGCCTTTGCAAAGTCAATGAAGCACAGGTAGACATTCTTTTGGTATTCTCTGCTTACTGCCAGGATCCATCTAACATTAGCTATAATAGCCCTAGTACCATGACTTCTTCTAAATCCAGCCTGTACATCTGGCAATTCTCTGTTGCCATATTGTTCCAAATGTTTTTGGATAATTTTCAGCAGAATCTTGCTTACATGTGATATCAATGATATTGTTCGATAATTTCCACACTCTGTTGGGTCACCTTTCTTTGGAATGGGAACAAATATTGATCTCTTCCAGTCAGTTGGCCAGCTGGCTATCCTCCAGATTTCCTAGTAGAATATTCAAAACCTATACTTGAACCAGTACTCGGTAGCCACATGTGACTGGACTACTATTCTGGGCAGCATAGATCTGGACTTTATCCAGATTATACCTTCTGAGCTGCATGACTTTGGGCAGGTTACTTACTATCTCTGTGTCTCTGTTTCTTCTTCTTAAAATAGTGATAACAATTGTGTATCTCATGCTGTGAGGATTACATTTGTTAATATAAAATGCTTACAATAGCAGCCCAATATAGTATAGATTATGCCTTCAAGACTTCTCATCTACATATGTAGCACTGGCTCATAGCTGGCCTTCCGGAAGATTTTCAGAGGTTCTGAATTATATCATTGGAGATTGTCCATCTTTCTCTTGTGAAACAGCTGTTGGATTCGAACTGCATACTTTTGAGTCAGCAGCACAACTCCTTACCACTAGGCCAAGCATTATTCATGTCTACTTTTTAAATTGTGACTTGAGTAGCACTGTTGTTATGTGCTGTCGAGTTCATCTTTAGTGATTGTCAAGCTTTCTGATGCACAGCAAGTAATTGTGAAGACCATGGCCTGGATCAGGCATTCCTTGGTCTCTAGACTGACATTGCTTCTCAGTACTCTGGAGAAGTCCCTGACAGCAGATTTTCCCAGTGCAATTCCAAACGTGGTAATGGTCACCCATGGTGGACAGTGTTTGCTAGAGCTTCCTGACTAAAACAAGCCTGGAAGCAGGAGTGGCATCCACTTCCAAAATGGCTTGTCTCTGGAAACCCTATGAACAATGCTCAGGCCTTTCGTTCATAGGGTCACTATGAGTCGTCTACGACTCGATGGCACCAAAGAACAACAATAACATACTTGAACCTGGAGGTGGTCGTCAGAACAGAGGAAAGGAGATACTGCATGGTTCAAAATCGGGAAGGGTGTCCGCCAGGGATGTATTTTGTCTCCATACATTTTAAATCTGTATTAGATTATCGAGGACGCTGGGCTGTATGAGGAATGTGGCATCAGGATTGGAGGAAAATTCATCAACACTCTGCGTTATGCAGATGACACAACCCTGCTTTTTGAAACTGAGGGGAACCTGAGGCACTTCCTGTAGAAAGTCAAGAACTGCGGCCTTCAATATAGATTGAAGCTAAACATCAAGAAAAAGATTCTCACCACTAGGCCAATTGGCAGCATAATCATGGATGGTGAAGAGATTGAGATTGTTAATAATTTTAGTTTGCTTGGCTCCACAGTCAACACTCTTGGTACCAGGAGCAAGAAACTCAAGAGGTAAATTGCATTGGGAAAGTCAGCTGTGAGGGACGTCTCAGAGTATTGAAGAGCAAAAATGTCAGGCTGGAGACTAAGGTGCACCTGATCTGGGCCATAGTTTTTGCAATTGCATGCTATACATCAGAGAGCTGAACAATGACTAGGGATGATAGAAAGAGAATTGATGCCTTTGGTCTGTGGTGCTGGAGAAGAGTGTTGAATATAGCATGGACTGCTAGGAGAACAAACAGGTTTTTCCTGGAGAGGGTGAAGCCAGAATGCTCCTTGGAATCAAGGATTCTGAAGCTTCGTCTGACATAGTTTGGGCATGTTGCAAGGAGGGACCAGTCCTTGGAGAGGGACATCATGTTTGGGAGAGTGGAGGGACAGTGCAGGAGAGGAAGACCCTTGATGAGATGGATTGATTCAGAGATTATGGTAATGGGAGTGGAAGTGGTGTGTCAGAGACAGTGAGGTTGGCACAGGATAGAGCATGGTTTAGGGCTCTTACGTAGTACGTAGAGTCACTATGAGTTGAAAGTGACTCAAGGGCCCATAACAACAACAACAACAAAGTGCATTTTGTTTTCAAATGAGTGTTTTGTTTTCAAAAGACAATACAGTTACTTAAAATGAAAAGAGGCATTTTAACTGAGCTTGGAACATGCTGATTATTCAAAGGAAACACTTCACACCATAGAATTTGGAGAGCTATGTTGTTACTTTGTGCTGTGAGTAGATTTCTGTTGTTAGGTGACATCAAGACCACTAGGACTCATAGTCACCCTATGAAAAACAGAGCTGAACCGTATCCTGCCTCATTTTCATGATCTCTGATATGCTCGAATCCACTGTTATAATCATTATATCAGTCTATCTTGTTGAGAATATTCCTCTCTTCCTCTGACCCTACATCTTTCCCAGCATGAAGTCTTTCCCCAAGAACTGACCTCTACTGACAAAATGCTGCCCAAAGTATGTGAGACGAAGTTTCACCATCCTTTCTTTTAAGTGGCACGCTGCTGCACTTCCTCCAAGTTTATTCTTTTGGCGTGCTATGGTATTCAGAACTCTTTTCCAATATCATAATTCAAAGGCATAGATTTCTCTGTCCTCACATTGATTATTTAACTTTCAGATGCATAGCAAGCCATTGAAAAGATGATGGCTTGGATCAGGTGCACCTTAGTCTTTAAATTTACATCCTTGTTCTATAAAGCTACTGAGAGGTCATTGACATTTGTCTTTCCCAAATCTCTTGAGAGTTACTGTAAAATACCAATGGGATGCAAAATTCTCTTCCAATGGATTGATTATCATGCTTCTTAAAATTTAATACATGTGCTTCTCAAACATTAATGCACAACAGAATCAGCTCTCTAACTTGATAAAGCACAGATTATTGGAGCCGGCCCCGAGAGTTTTGATTCTGTAGATCTTTACTGGACTATGTAATTTGCCAAAGAATTGATATCTTTGAATTATGTTGTTGGCAAAGAATATTTAATATATCATAGGCTGCCAAAAGAACGAACAAATCTGTAGCCAAGATGTTCCTTAGAAACAAGGATAACCTTTGCATTACATACTTTGGGCATGTTATCAGGAGGGACTAGTCTGGGTGAAAGATCTTAGGCTAGAAAAAAATAGAGGAGCATTTAATGAGACGAAAATAGTCAAAGAAATGGATTGAAACAAGGTCAGCAACAAAAGATTTAAGCAGAACAGAGGCTGTGAGGGTGACACAGGATCTGCCAGGATCATTGTGAATCAGGGTTGACTAATCTGCACCTAACAACAACAAGGTCCTGGGTGATGTGGAGGCTGCCACTCTGGTAACCACATTCTGAGAACCATAGCTCCAGAAAGAGCCCATTACTACAGGAATAGATTTCAGTTAGGGTCTTGTAAGGTTGCTGAGGAAGTATAGAACCCAGTTCAGGCCAAGAAAAAGAGTTTATTGAGGAAAAACTTCCAGGCTGGCTCTCACAGCCCCCACTAAAAGGTAGACAGGGATTTTATATCCCCTTATAAGAAACTTGGGGAAAGAGATGCTCACAGATATATTCTACAAGATAGCAAAGTGGGCTGGGGTCTCATATAACTATTTCCAGGAAAGGGTACTTTCACATC